TGGATCTGGCCTTCTACCAAACGCTTGTCGATATTCTGGTGCCAGATGTGCTGATGAGCAACATGTCACGTAAGTAGAAAATGATCAGTTCAGTAGAAATTAGAAATTCTATTGTTTTCAGCGTTTCTTACCCAATCATGCCGAAACTTTGCGAAAAATGTAGAGCATTATTTAAAAAAGGCAATGCAAGGCGCTCCCGAGATTATTCAAAAGAAGAAAATCCAGGCTGTTAAATATATGGCGCAAGGACTGAGAAGGTGCTTATTAACTGGAACCACCAACTTCCACTTGCTTATCTTCTTTATGCTCAGGTACACATCTCTGAATCATCTCGCCCAAGCCGCTCGAGCAGTACTGCAGAAGCCGGACCAAGTTACTGCTATGTACAATGACTATATCAGGTATTATATTTACTATGACCTTTAATTCTCCGCCTTTGTCATTATGGCTTCTCAATATACGTAGGATAGAATGTAAAGAAAATCCTTTCAAACTTTCGAAGTCTTGATGGCCAACATATGCAAATAAAAAGCTCTGATTTTGCTTTTTTAGCGCAGGATAACGAAAAGTTCAAATGTTTAAATTTTACTTCAAAGTAGGAACGTGTAAAAAGAACATGATTAATTATGGGATGTCATAACGTTACATGATTAATCACGCTCTTTTTGTGAGTTTGTCCCATATTTTCGACCTCGTCAATCATTACAATTTTCTCGTCCAAATCCCTTTCCTCTATCCCTGATCTGTGGTTTCTCTATTTTTCACTAGTGGCTAGAGGCTATTGTTTCTGGTGCACTAAAGTTTTGATTTTACTTTCTTGTGAGGGTGTGCGTAAGAGTATTTTAGTGCTCAGGCATGTCACGAATATAACTGATAATGGACCCAAAAGCCATAGTTATTTTTAAAAAATTACATTTCCATTCTGTTTCCGAACAAAATTGTTTCAAAGCTCCTTAGTTCTTGTCTGTGCATCTTGGGATATGCAAAAATTATTGCAAAGAAGTCCATGTGTTTGGCCGAGTATAATGAGATGCTCAGGCGTTTTAAGTGATGATGACGTTCAATGATTAAGTAAACGATAATGAGTGAACCAAAAAACAAATGCAAGAAAACAGCAGCTTTAAAAGTGAAGTCTAGTTGGTTGCAAATCGGTCGATATATAGACTACTGTAATTGAGCACAAGCTAGCTAATCACCGTTTGCAGATTTTCTGAAATTCTGACTTAATCTTTTTTAAACGAATGCGATGTGCTGTTGCAGAGTGGACATGCAACAGGTGCAAGAACAAGCGGGGTGGGTAAGCGGATGTGACTCGCTCATGGTTCACCACATCCATAATGCATTCAAAGACAATCTGCAGAAAATGGCTCCAATGGAAGAATGGGCCGAGTGGCTTGAGAGCATCGTAGATCAAGTAACACACAAAGATTTTCTTTTGCAATTCTCTCGACTGAAATTCTATTTTACAGATATTGGCCAAATACCATGATAAACCTGTACAAGTGATCTCAGAAGTTGGAAAACAATTCTTACTCAACTGGAGTTGCTACACGTAAGTGAATAGTTCTA